GGTCCAGTACGGGGGCAACACTGAGGGTTGCGATCCGTTGCCGGACACGGAAAAAAAGACAAAAGACAAAAAAAAAAAAAAAAAGAAATAGTGAAGAGAATGGGAAATATATAAACAGGAGCAGGCTGACAGACAGGAGAAAGCCCTAGGGAAGAGTTCATAAGCCTGACAGAACCCTAGAGAGGCTCTGCATTCGAAGTCAGCCACTACAGCAAAAAATGCAAAGAAAGCATGGGCAGAAAGAACCAATCAGCCAACAATTTGTGTATGGAACAAATGCACACAGAAGGCTACAAGGCCTAGACATTTACCATTTACCCCCAGGCAAAACACTTGCCAGCCCTTCCCCAAACAAATGAACCAACTGTTTGAAGAAAGCTAAAACTTCTAGCCAGAAGTCAGCTCTCCAGGAAAATGACCTTCTCTTTTTGCTTGGTAGTCTAACACTTGACTTCCCACCTGCCAGGGCTATTAGCTTAAACTAATTCATTTATTGAGCATCTATCATGCCAGTCTTGTTTCTGGGCAATATACTAGTCCCTCTTATCCGAGGTTTCGCTTTCCACAACTTCAGCTACCAGCAGTCAACCATGGTCCAAAAAAATTAAATGGAAAATTCCAGAAATAAACAATTCACACATTTTAAAATATGCACAGTTCTGAGTAGTGCAATGAAATCTCACGCCATATGGTGCCATCCCACCCAGAATCACCCCTTTGTCCAGAGTGTCCAGGCTGTATACTACCTGCCTGTTGGTTACTTAAGAGGCATCCTAGTTATCAGACTGAAAAAACATAGTATGTTCAGGTTGAATATCCCCTGTCCGAAATGCTTGGAACCAAAAGTGTTTCAGATATCAGATTTTTGGGGATTTTGGAAAATTTGCATTATACTTCCTGGTTCAGCATCTCTAATCTGAAATCTGAAATCCAAAATGCTCCAGTGAGCATTTCTTTTGAGCACCATGGCAGTACTCAAAAAGTTTTGGACTTTGGAGCATTCTGGATTTTTGGATTAGAGATACTCCACCTAATAGGGAACTACCTGCGATTTCAGGCATTCACTGGGGACCTTGGCACATAACCCGTGTATATGGGGGGACTACTATTATACAACAATAAACAAGACAAACATAGCCCTGACCTCAAGAAGCTTATGTTCTGCTGCTAAAACAAAGGTCAAGGGTTCAGATCCCCCTACCAGCCAGCCACAAAAAAAAAAAGGAAGCTTATGTTCTAATGGATAGAGAATAAACACAGAAATGAGAAAATTGAGAATATCAGATGGTGATTAGTGTTATAGAGGAAAATTAAATCAGGATAAGGGAAAAGAGTACAAGGATTAGGGGTGAGGGAGAGTTGTTATTTTACATAGGAGGGTAAGGACAGGTATGTAATAAATATTTGGTCTTTGTCCCCAGCACACAGTTCCTAAAACTACGGGAATTTACTCTTTTGTATGCTAATGAAATGACTCATTAGTAGGAGCCTTAGGTAGCTTCAAGATGGGGGATGGTCCCCCCAAAATGAACCACGTGATTAGAGTTTAAACTCAGCACTCCCCCCACACCCCTCGGAAGGGGACAGGGACTGGAGATTTTTAATCATCAGTGGCCAATGATTTAATCAATCACGCCTACATAATGAAACCTTTGGCAAAAAACCCTAACAACTGGGTTTGGGGAGCTTCTGGGTTGGTGAACATACTGATGCACTGGGAAGGAGGAAGCTCAGAAAGGGCATGGAAGTTCTGTCCACCCATACCCCTCCATACCTGGCCCTATGCATCTCTCTCATTTGGCTGCTCCTTTGTTGTATCCTTCATAACAAACTGGTAAATGTAAGTTAAGGGATTTCCTGAGTTCTGTGAGTTGTTCTATCGAATTATCAACCATGGGGAAGAGATTGCAGGAAACCTCAAGTTTACAGCCGGGACTTGCAACTGGTGTTTAAAGTGGGAACACTCTTGTGGACTAAGCCCTTAAACCTGTGGAGTCTAATGATAACTCCCAAGAGTTAAGAGTAAGAACTAGAGAAATGGAGTGAAAAACAGACAAGTATCTGGAGTCAGAAAACACAGCAACAGGACTCAAAGATAAACACAGCAACAGGACTCAAAGATAAAGTAAGATTTGAGCGAAACCTAAAGGAAGTGAGAGAGCAGGCCATAAGGTGATCCCAGGCAGAGGGAGCATTTAGGTACAGAGGCCCAAAGAAGGGGGCACACTTGGCAAGGAGGTAATAAGAGAGAAGAAGGGGAGACCAAGGAGATGAGGTAAGAGAGCTATCAGAGAGCCGCATGGGTAGGGCCTCCTGGCCACCATAAGGACCTTGGCTTTTACTCTAAATGAATGAAGGGTCAAGGCAGGGTTCTAGGTAGAGGGGTAATGTGATTTCCCATAAGTTTCAGAGTCACTGAGGAGACTGTGAGAGTACACTGGAGTCAGAGGAGAGCTGGCAGCCAAGACAAGGAGAGCAACAGTGAGCCGACCACCGTAATCCAGACAATGCAGGACAGTGGTCTGGAGCAGGGCCATGGCAGTGAAGGTAGGGAGAAATGACTGGAATCTGGGTCTGTTCTCAAAGTGGAACAAATAGGACTTGCTAATAATTGGATGTGGGTTTTATGAAAAAGAGAGAAGTTAAGGTTTTTGGACTAGGCAACTAGAAAGATAAAGTTACCACTTACTGAAACAGACTAGGAGTTCAGTATTGAGCATATTGATTTTGAGGTGCTTACTAGACATCCATAGGAATATCTAATACAGGTAACTGGACATGAGAGTATGGAGTTGAGAGGAACAGCTCAGATTAGAAACACAAATTTGCAAATCATCATCTAATACAGGGGTCAGCAAACTCAGGCTTGCAGGCTACATGCAGCCCTCTGCCTGTTCTATACATAGAGTTTACTGGAACACAGCCATGTCCAGTATTTACATTGTCTACGGCTGCTTCCACACTCCATCAGCAGAGCTGAGCAGTTGCAGAAAAGACTGCATGGCTCGAGAACCTAAAAAATATATATAAAACATGGGGCTAGCCAATTAGCTCAGTTGGTTAAAGTGAAGCCTCACAACACCAAGGTCAAGGGTTCAGTTCCCCCCACAGGCCATCCTCCAAAAAAATAAAGTGTATATATGAAATAAAATATATGGCCCCAGAAGAAAGTTTGCTAGCCCATAATCTATTAGGTAGAATTTAAACCCCTAGATAATAAGACCCCTTAAGGAGTAAAGGGAGTATGGATTAAGACATAGTCTCAAGGACTGTGTCCTGAGACATTCCTATCTTTAGGAGCCAAGAAGATGAAGAGAAACCAGCAAATGATAGACAAGAAGACTAACCTCAGCAAAGCAGAAAAAGAATCAAGAGAACACTGTATTGAAAGCTAAATGAACAAAGTATTTCAAGAACAAAGGAGAGATCATGCAGCATGAACGTCACAGGAGCATGTACAGGCAGGCCTAACTGAAGTGGTTCAAGATCAGGAGTAGAGAAATTGAAGACAGCAAGCACAGACAACACGCAGAAGTAGTTCTGCTATAAAATACAGTAGAAAATTGGGGTGGTAAAGGGAGGTATGGAGCCAATGTCCTGACCAACCCTGCACAGAGCATTCAGTGAGAATTTACAACTAGAGTAAACAAGTCTGTTCACACAGTAAAAGAAAATCTACACCAGCCACTCATCATTCTGTCCTCACTATGAACAGAAAATCATGGATCACCAAGAACATAATGAGAACAAGCAGCAGGAAAGAGTAATACCAGCAGCAGAAAAACTAAGAAAGCAAATAAACCAGGAATAGAAAAAGGAATTCAAGCAGATATATTCTTAAATTAAGAACAAGATACTATAAAAATTGAATAAAAAACAAAAAGGCATTTTTGCAACTAAAAATATAATAGCTGAAATAAGACATTTAAAAATGTTTGGAATGGAAATCCAAGAGTTCAGGATGAAAAGAAAAAGTTGCAAAAAGCACAACAGAAAAGTTTTGAAACATAGATAGAAAGACCATCCAAAAGGTCCAACATCCAACTAACAGGAGTCCCAGAAGAAAGACTGAGAAAATGAAAGGGAAAAATATATATCCAAGAAATACTAGCAGATCTAATGCACACAAATCTTCAAAACCAAAGAGCCCAAGTGTCCAGAACAATGACCAAAAAAAGATCCAACCTAGTCACCTTCTCACAAAATTTCCAAAAATCAAGGACAAAGCAATGATCCTAAAAACTCCCAGAAACAAAAAAACATTAAGTCATCTACAAAGGACTAAGAGCATCAGCTTTCTCATCAGCAACATTATCTTCTAGAAGACAATGAAGAGATGCCTTTAACATTATAAAGAAGAAGTTTTTAATTGTCTCTCTACAGAGCCAAATATGAACCAATCTAATGTGAAAGTAGAATAAAGAAATATTCAGATGACACAGCATTAAGATGGGAGACAGCTATCTAACCTGTATCAACTATGATGTCAATAACAATATTAAGCCACCGAGATTTGAGGTTTATGTTATCTCATATAAGGAGCCAATAACTTTCGTTTAATGTTGATACATCTAGAAACACAACATAAGCAAGTTACATAGTTAAAGAACTAACCATCAGAGGAAATAAAAATAGAAATTGTTAAAAGAGGTACTCAGGAGAGCACTATTCATTATAAAGCTTCTGTATGCCTGGATTTGTTACCATACACAAGTGTTTATTTGATCTTTTAAAAAATTTTAAAACATGCATAAGGAGGCTCTGAATAAGGTCTTTTGTGAGCAACATTTCTGGCTTCTCAGATGCCTGTTTATCTTTCTTCGGGTTTCCCGCTTCTGTTGCTTAAGGTTAAACTTGATAAGAAACCTTCAACTTTCATACGGAGTAAAGTACCTGTGCTGGAATAGTGAAAACCTAAGAAGGACTATACTGTACAATACCCACAGAGGGCAGTAGAACCCTCTTTAGCAGTACACAAAAATAACAGACCTTGATTGTTTTTTTTTACAATTCATTTTCATGCTAGGCTTACTTAGAATCTTTTCCTAGAAAGCACTAAATAGCTGTGACCTTCATAACAAAGATGCAGGTAACATCTAATTACAATCAGAGAATGGGAAGCATCTTTTAGCTAGATATTTGCAGTGGATACCTACTTTAATGTCTACCTTTAACGCTTTTAACACTATGAGAAATGAAACCACACTTCAGTAAGTAGATGCCTGAAGTTGTGAAAGTTGGGGCCCATACTGGACACTACTGCTGCCATTCTCTTTCATCATCCCCTACTCCTACACACACAAGCATCATTAATGCACTCAGAACTCTCTCCATCCTGCTGAGGCAGAAGCAAGTTATAGAACAAAAACCCCTCATGAAAGTGACCACCCACAGAGCTGTAGTTGAGCACAAGAGATGAAACCCACCCACCATCCCAGAAAGGAAAAACATATAATGGAAAAAGGGAGAAAAAAGACCAAAAAAGATTAGAACACAAATTCAGTAGCTGCTAAAGGGTGCTTTTCAGAGATTTTTCTTAAAATGTCAGGAAACCAAAGGAAAATCATATAAAGGTCTTACCTTTGCAGTACCAGTCTGGGAACCATAGAAAATCTTCACTCCAGACACAAAGATTTCCTTCTTTTCAAGGGAGATATAACCATTTGTCACAAAATCCCGACCTGCTTTTGGTACAGATTTCTCCTGTGATTTCTTGACCTTGAAGATAAATGATTACATAAAATCCATGAAGTCCAAATCTTTTCCCAACTTAGGTAGGGATGAAAATTAACACAGATACTGGCCCTCTTTATTATTCTCTTAATGTTTCTGTTTGTCTTCTCAAACATTAATCCCTTAGTATAATTAAGTCCCTAAAAGGCAAGAACCCCCTTTTTTTAATACTATAATGATTCCCACTCCCTCCAGGGTAAAACTACACAGGCTTTCATCCATAATGTGTTTTAGTGGAATAACAGTAGAAATTTATTTTCTGTTCCTTAATTAGCGGAAAGAAAAGAAAGAACTAGTACCCCTTAAAGGTGCAAAACAGATTTGTTTTTCTTATAAAAGGTTAATTTTTCATTACAAAAGCTTCCTGTATCTTAAGAATAAGACATTCACAACACATCAAAGAAAAAGTAAATAATTTACTTAGTCCATAACAACTTAGTCTCTAAAACTTAGACATAGAGAAGAAATTTTTTTAGGTATTTAAAAACATGTCGAGCTGACCTGAAGGTCAGGAAACAGCACGATCCTGAGAGCTGTGTGCTGTGATACCAGAGTATTGACTGCATTTCCAAGAGCAACAAA